AGTTACCTAACCTCTCTCTTTCTCCTTCAAGACTGAGAACACTAAAATGAGGGCAACTAAGGTCTTTCCATGATTTGCAGGTACCTTTAATTGCCAGCTTTTACAGCATCCTGTGCAGCTCCCTGGAGCTGCACCTTGTGGCCTCCCTCAAGCGGCAGGCACCTTGAATCCCACGGAGCCTATGCAGATGGACCACCCCATGAGAAGCTGCCACCTCGAGCAGAAGCAGTCACCTCACAGGGACCGAGCTCTTTCCTCAAGCCATGGGAACTACCTAGAGCAGCCTGGAAGAACCAGACTGGGAGTAATAATCCACCCAGTCACAGTCTGACCAGGATCACCCACCCTGCGGGCAATGCAAACCCCCAAACCTCTCCTGTGCCCCCTTTTCTATAAAATGTCAACTCTTCCATCAGCTCCTCAAGTCAGATCTTGAGCCTTTCCAGTGTGGCTGCACCACGCAAAGCCCTTTCCTGCCCTTCGCCACTGCTTGTCTCCATGACTGGTATCAGGGACAGGCGGCCGAGCCTGGTCTGCTGGGGTCCCTGGAGCCAGGGTGTTGGCCCTGAAACTCGGGTAGCAGTTATTCATCTTGGAAGTGGTGCTTATTTCCGAAGTGGTGCTTATTTCCGAAGTGATTGGGCTTAAGGGTAAAAACACATATTTTCTTGGAATAATTACAACAGTTTTGATGAAGGATAAATTACCGCTTTCTACTGTATTCTTAAAGTCTTTTCACGTCCTAGACTTTGGATCCCCCACCACCTCCACCACATTCCAAGGCACATCATGCATTGAGGAGCTGGCCCTCCCTTCAGGAAGGAGTGGGTGCCCCAGCTGAAAGCAGCAATGAGATTAACATCTGTATATTCTTGTCTTTATGCAAAGCATCTTATGGACATTCCAAATCCTGTTAGTTGATATGTGTAGTTGAGAAACCTGGTTCCCCACACACCCTTGTAATTTGAAATTCTTGAAATAGATTTAGACCACACAGGCAGCCCTCAACTGACAAATAGATTAAGGTCCAGAAGTGATTTCATTTCTGGGTTTGAGTTTTTCCAGTAAAGCATTGTCTTAGGAGATATTGGCCCCTGGCTTCGTCTGTGTCTGAAGTACTGTACTCTTACATTTTAAAGGTAGGATGAGACAGTGCTGCAGACGAGCAAACCAGAAGAGGAGTGCATTAAGGCAAAAAATTAATTATACATGTGGGTGTGTTGAAAGTTGGTCTTTTAAAAAGATTTGCTTATATCTGGTAATCTGAACAACTAATTTGAAGGCAGCAATACGCAATATAACAACCATTCTTGAATTCCTACCATCTTGATTAGTGAAACTCTGTATTGTTTCTAATTTTTTAAAATTATTTTTTATTCTCTTTAATATTTGATCAATCTTGCATTCTTACATCTGGTAATCTGAGCAACTTCCTTGAAGATAATGATACATAAGCAATATAACAACCATTGTTAATTTCCTATCTTGTTCTGAAATTGTGTATCGTTTTTATTGTTTTTGTGTTGTTTTGTTTTTATCTTTGTTGCTATTTTGTTTTCTTTTCTCTTTAAAATAAAAAAAATTCATTTGAAGAAAAATTCATTGGCAGCTGAGACACTTTAGAGCTTCTGAAGAGAGGGCTGAGCGTGTAGAGGCTATTGACGAGGTTCCTTCTATCTTTCAGTGTATTTTCATTTTGAAGAATTAAGAAACCCAGTGTTTTACTGTGTTTAGTTTCACTCCAAAATATGCCTTCCATTTCCCTCTGTGCAGAAGAACTGCTGCCCTGCACTCACGCTTGCCCTGCGTGCTTAGCGTTTGTGTTTCATGTTATTCATGACGTTGGGGTCCCACAGGAAACAAAAAGAGAACTAGAAGTAGGGTTTTTGAAGGTGAGAGCCAGGTGTAGCAAAGACAAAGAGGAAATCCTTAAATGGCTCTTGCGAATCCTGAAAAAGACTTCATATAAGGTGGGTGTTAAATAGATTTTGAGAGTAGAAAAGAGGGATGGGGGATCCCCCACAACTTTCCCCCGGGGGCATAAAGGAGCAGAAGGCAGTGTTGCACAGTCAGCTCTGGCCCTCCTCTGTGTGTGTGTGTGTGTGTGCATGTGCGTGTGCGTGTGTGTGTGTGTGTGTGTGTGAGTGATAGGAGGCACCACAGTTACGAGGTCCACAAAGCCAAGGCATTCAAAAATGAAAATCAGCTTTATCTAGAATTAAACCTATGTGAACCCATTTGATTAGTGGAAATACTTTTTCCAGATGTTTTCAAACATGATCTGGCCAATCCATTCATTTTTTTTTTTAAAAGGCAAATTCCAGTATTAGTTTTTCTGTTTCAGATTGTTTACCAAATACCAATTGGGCATTTTTTCCCACTGTTTCTCCTGCTCTACCATCCCTTGAACCTTCTACCTGACATAAGGGGTTTTGTTTTTGTGATGGCTCTTGAAAGTGAGAGCGCATGTGTGTGTGTACACATACTTGTGTATGTGCATATGTGTGTGTGTGGTACATGTGGGGGTGGCCTGGAAGGCACAGGTTTTTCTTGGTGACGTGGAAGAGATTATTAGCTGTTAGACAATATCAATGCCTTTTTTTTTTTTTTTTTTTTTTTTTTTTTTTTGTTTTTCTCCGGTACTGGGAACCGAACTCACGACCTTGCGCTTGCCAGGCAGGCGCTTTGCCGCTGAGCTAAATCCCCAGCCCCTATCAATGCCTTTTATAGAAGTAGAAACCCTGAGTTTTAGTTGGACACAGGTCTACTTTGAGTAAAGAGTGCAGTTGTAGTCAGCGGTGGCAGAGAAGAAGAGGACAACTTTCAGATATCCTTCTTTCTTCATTTTCTCTAGCTAGAAATGCAGGTGAAGACACTACTGGCATTTCTGGTGGTGGTAGTTCTGGGGCCGAAGGGTTTTTGTATACCATCATATGGCAGAACTGCCCGATCAGCCCTGGGCTGCCTCGCCTAGGCTGCTTCATGGTAGAAAAAGACATTTGAATGCTGAAACGTCGTGAACTTGGGTCTTTGTTATTGTAGTATCTAAACATGTCTAAACTAGCATGTGGCAGAAGGAGGGGAGACTGCTTAGGTGTTACATATAAAGAGATTTGGCAAAAAAGATTGAATTGTGGATAGATATGTCCTCCAAGGAGGTTACCAGAAGCATCAATACTGTCTTTGTTAATACTAAAGAAGTAGCTGAGTCTTCAAAGAACATTACAAGTATAAGATTTTCATGTAACACCTACCATAAACTGTATTCCCTAGAAGAAACTATTAAAACTCCATACCAATACTTTGTGTTGACCTTGGACCAATTTGATGTTTAGTATCCTGTGTTTGTGGACTTAGGAAGGATTAATGAATATATTTACTGACTCTGAAAGAATGTATCATAGAGCAAAAAATATTCTTTAGCTGGGGAGAGGAAACAACCTGTCTGTACTTTGCAAGATCACAGACAAGCTTCAAAGCAAAAAGTCTGAACTCTGAAGAACAGCAGGTAAATTTCTATCTTTCAGTGTCTGTGGAAGCTACCCAGTGTCATTTGTGGGCGGGAAGATACCCAGAAACAGAGGTGATCAGAGCTTCACCACGCCTCTGGGCTTCTCTAATAATTCCCATTTCTTCTGAGCACATTATAAAAGTTATCCTTTCTTAGAATGGACATATCTAATCAACTGGAATCATTAAAGCCACCTTCACTACAACTGATGTGAAGGTTTTGGCTGATGCTCTGCGATGGACTGAGGGTGTGCCCAGCACCTTCTCACTCAGCATGCATCTGCTCCTTTCCTTTCAGCCCAGAGAGCCAGGGGCTAAGGAGGGTGGGGAGTCTCTCTGGGCTGGAAGCACAGGGATGCATATCAATCAGTGGGTTTGGTGGGGTGCACTGATGCACTGCCCCTCTATCCAGTTACTGTGCAGGCCTTGCCTGGGCCAGAGAATAGAACTCTGCACAAGCTAGATGGTGTTACTAGCTTCAGAAGAACTGATGTTTGTGAAATGCTTGATGGTTTACAGAGTCTCCAGAGTATTTGTTTTTACATTGCCAGGAGCTACAGTTAGATGGCTGATTTTGGTCCCCCTGTTTGGACCTTCCAGATATACCCTTCCAACAGACTAATCAACAAGGGTATGTAGAACTTCTCATCTGGGTCCAAGATGAAATGGGCCTAGGCATCCCCAGAAATTCTCTAACCTTTTGCTGGTGATAACTTCTGATGGCTGCCACCATCTAAGCTTGGGTTTCCCTTGGTCCCATTTCTTTACATGGTTCCCTCCCTCCTGACTCCTACCTACTTGGTTGTTTAAGCTGGAGTTTTTATGTAACAAGTTAAAATTTTGGAGAATACTTCTTGGATTTGCAGGTCTATTAATATTTTTAGCTTTTTTATTGTTGTTTTTGTTGTTCATTTCATTTTGCCCCAGCTAAGCACTTACTGTATGTTGCATTTCAAGTCTTACTTCTGCTTTCGCATCAGTTAACATCATCAGCCTATGGTTCTTTGTCATGGAGGAGGCAAAGTCTTTTTTATCCACTGTGACTGTATCTCTCCGTTAGAGACAGCAGGACAGGCTATACCTTCAGCAGCCCCTTGATGTCCCCTGATCTTCCATTTGCAGATTACAAACCACCAGATTTCCCATGGGCACTGTGAACCACTGCTTTTTTTGTTACTGACAGGGATTTTTTTAGCTCATCTACTGTGACTAACACTTTTTATGGCCCAGTCGTTCTTAACAGCATATTATCCTCAGCATTGCTGGTCCTCACTGAATTCACACGCTCCTGTCCCTTCGCGTGTCTGCCTGTCCATGTGTATCTGCTAACCGGCTTCTCCTTAACAGCACTGTGAGCATTTCAGCTTCAAGTTCATACTGTTATTTCTTTGTATAGGAACTGCTAAAAAATGCATGTTCTTTACAGAGTCTTGCGCAATCTCTTGCATGCTTTTGCTCCTCCCTTCCACACTGGTCCCTGTCCCACTCACCGGCCACTGAGGAGATGACAGCAATGCTTCCTTGGCTCTGCTTCAGCATGGGCAAGGCGGCTACACTCAGGACCACAAAACTGTGGAAGTTGATCTCCATGTGTTTGCGTACCTTGTTGATGTCATCACGAAAAAAAGACAGAGGACTGTAGTGGACGTGGTTGAGAATGAGCATGTCTAGTCCTCCTGCAGGAGACGGCTGAGTTGAGAGAGACCGTCTGGGGTTGGATACCTTCCTTCCCTTTCCTTTCCCTCCCCAAAGCTGTGGTGACCCTCAGGGCAGCTTTCAGAGAAAGACAGAGGAGAAGCAGCCTCACCCATGATCTTTCCTGCTTCCGCAACAAATTTTTCTGCAAAGGTCATGTCTTCCATGCTGCCAGCGATGTAGTGTGCGGAGGCTGCTCCGAGCGCTAAGCAGCGGGATACCACCTGCAGAATTACAACACAGTGGGGTCATCTTGCTGTTGGCTTTTGGGTGCAGTCTTTGAAGTAATTAAGGCTTAAATGACAGGCTGCTCATCACCCTGTTTAAATGAAAAATGGTGTGTGTGTTTGTGTGTGTGTAAGGTTGAATATTTAAATGCATATTTTTATATTCCTGTGAGTGTCTAGGTGCTTGAACCTATGTATGAGAATGCAAGATTTAAAGAGAAAGAGGCTGAGAGGGAGAGAGAGGAGATGTGCTAGGCTTTGTGGTATAGGAACATGTCAGGTGTGTGGATCTGCAGGCAAAGACCCCTCACCTTCTGTAGGTCTTCTTTTGACCTCGCTGTCACCATCACATGGGCTCCCATCTTCGCCAGATGATAAGCCATTTCTCTTCCAATCCCTTTGCTGGCCCCTGTGACAATCACTTTCTTTCCTTGGAGCATCTCTGGGGAACCCCAAAAAGAAATGAGGACCGCGCTGCATTTGGCAGCAGTGTTCCTGCTCCCGCCCATGTGAAGAGTCTCATTTCACTTTCCAGTTTTAAATGTTATGAACCCAGATCAGTTTGTCTCCATCATGTAAGCCACTCAAGGAATGAACGGCTCATGTCCTTTACAGACATGCTCTAAAGAGAAATTTGGCTTGTTTGCCCAAAACCAAGGCTGGCTGTTGTCTTTCCAAAATCCTTCTCTTGAAGGGTCTTAAGGACAAGGCCAGAAAGGATGAAATGGTTCAGTTAAAATGCTGACATTCCAGATGTTTCAGGACTCATCAAATTTTGATCAATTGAAAGAAAATTTAAAAAGTACTCGAAACACATGTGTTCATAGAGATTTCAGGGGTTTCCCTCATTTTTAGTCATTGACTCCGTGATCCTATTTTGTCCCCCGATCATCAGTCTTTCTATGGAGCCCCATTTTCTGGCTGTCTTTGAATTTGGGAAAATACCTTCACTTCTGTAGAAGATTTGAATTACTTTTCATAAGGGTGACAAGTAAAGCATGGCCTATTTGGCAAGATTTTTGGGTGCAGGATCACCCTCCCCTTGTCCCTCCTGCCCACGGCCTGTGTTTGGAGAACACGGGGATGTCATCCTACTTTCAGGTTCCGTCTTTTTCAGCAGCTTTAGGAATCGGGAACACATCTTGATCCTTAGGCAGACTCCAGACCCCCCGTGTTTTCTAGCCTATTTTACCGAAATGAGACACATTGGTACTTACCTGGTCTGAACTCCTCATTTGCAGAATAGTAGTAGTAGGCCAAGAAGACCATCAGAATGGGGAGGAGGTATTTTTTCAGAAAAGCCATCATAAAGGGACCTGGCCCAAGGAGCCCTGTAGGACACACAGAGAGAACCTACAGAGCTTTCTACAACCTCTTAGGCGGGCAGCAGCCTCTGAATTGTGACATCAGGGACGGGGAGGCTGGAGTAGTCTTGGGCAGTGCTAGCCAATTTCCCTGTCAGAGCAGCGATTGGCCTTGGGTGGGATCCCATTTGTTCCTGGCAGCCTGCATGGTGGATTTCATAATGGACAATGTTTACTCCATCTCGTTGAGCAAGAGGAGACTTCCAGATGGCCAGGCTCATGACTGTACAGGATTCCTGAACATCCCTAGCCCATCTTCCTCTTAACACCATCTATGCCAGGGATCGATGGCCTCTCAAGGGTGGTTTGTCAAAGGCAGAGAAGGAGAGAGAGAGTGCATGTGGGCTTCTGGGGAAATATGAGTAATAGTAACAAGAGCCAAATTCAAGCCCAGTCTCACCCTCAGCCTCACCCCCCCCCCAGTCGGAAGCAATTAAAAATAACAGCAAGAGGCAGCAAAATAAACTTGAGAAAAAATGTGCATGTCTTGGAAAAAAATAAATAAAAGCAAACAAACCATATAAGCCCCACACTCAAGCTCAATGGAAGGGTATTACAACATCAGAGAGAAGCTGCAATCCAGGCAGAACGCAGATGGCGGGAAACCCAAGACTGACTCAAGACTCCAGGCAAGTGCCACAGAACGTACACTTATTACTTTAATAGAGAATAAAGAGAACACAGAGGTGCCAAAACAAAAAAGGCAGTGAGCTCTTAAACCAGGAATGAGAAATTTGGACAGGATGTGAGGAAGAGGAGCCTGGCACCGGAGGAAAAGTACCTATCACTCTTGAAGCCAAACTAGCCTACAGTGACCACATCCCAGCTGAAGATGGACTGAAACTATATCAGGACCAGGAGGAAGCCCACAGTGATTAGGCCCACTTTATTATCAGGGAAGTATAGGAAAGCCTATACTAATACTAATAAAGTGGAAGCCCACTTTATTATCAGGGAAGTATAGGAAAAACCACCTCCTTGTGTCTTTAGCAAGACTTCCTTAAGGAATAATCCTCAGAGAAAGAAATTAGGATGTGTTGTTGTTAAGTTTTTCAACTTAAAACCAACCAACCAAATCATGAAGCATATCTTGAATTCTGCAAGTTTTCGGCAGTACAGAGGTGAATTTTTACACATGGAAATAAGACTGACCATCAGTTACTTGGAGTTGAGATGGGGGCTGGGATGGATAGGGCTGGCATTTACACAAAGCTAAGATAAATTGAATTATGACCCTAAATACAGTATCTGGAAACATTCAGTGAATTTTCACTTCAGAGTAAGAGAAAATAATTTAAGACCCAGAGGAGATGAAACAATTTGTCAACAAAGGCCCACAACTGTGAAGTTCAATTCCAGAAAACAATAACAATTTGAGAACAGTAGAGAGCTAGATATAGCTCAAGATGCACGGAGGACAAAAATAGAATAAAGATAAAATTCACATGAAAATTAGATTACATACTGTTTGCACTTCAAGAAAAATTTGCATACTTTGTAATAAGGGAGTTTATGCAAACAGGACACGTTATACACCAGGCTCCATTTTCATTCTTAGAGGAAGACAGGGCAAGGATTATTTTCTAGACCATATACTATTAGTAATGAAATGACGGGAAAACAATGAAAGAGTTGCTTCTGAATATGATATTGCTGAAATGATAGAAAGATGGGCAGAATAGGGGTTTGTTGTCTGATCCCACCAAAAAAGAAAGAATTGTAAAGGCCACTACAGAAAACATAAGTTTAAAGAAGTAATGAGGAAGATAAAGTACAGGGCAAGAGAACACAAAGTGAAATGACTACTGATTGTTGGCTCAGTTAAATAAAGTCCAACATGGTATAACCTCCAAGGACACCTTTAAACCCAACAACACAGATTAATTCAATGACCTAGCAGCTGCCATGCAATGAAAGCAGGAAGAGCATTCAATAAAATCATTTACATGAAATTAGATGGAAATTGTGTAGAATGCATTGATGACAAATATATATACTGTATATATTTATAAACACTGTATAAACAAATATATACACTGTAATTTTGGTGATAAATTAAGTCAGTGGTTCTCAAACATTTTGTTCTCAGGATCCCTTTATATCTTTAAAAATTATGATGACTTCAAAGAACTTGTGCATATGACTTTTTCCTATGGATACTGGCATTGATACATTAGAAATTAAGACTGAGGGTTTTTTAAACTCAAGAATACATAGCATACCTTCCACTGGCAGTCAGAGCAGTCACATTATCATACATCCTGTAACTTCTGGAAAAGGCAAGTAATATCTTAGTATGATTATGACAATAGTTCTGGCCTTTTAAACTCCTAAGAGGACCTAGGGGACCCTTGGGGACCACATTTTGACTCTGTTGTATGATAAATACTGAATGCACTGCGTGTCTGCATTTATATGGCTGGTTCTTGCATTAGTTTGTCAGTTCCCGGAGGACATGTCTTATGTCTCTTTCATCTTTACCTCCGCCTACCCCCTCAAGTCTTGTTCCAAAATAGGCATTCAACAAGCTTTTGCTGTTTTGGTTCAGTTTCTGAGAGGCTGCAGCAGTAAGAAAATCTCTATCTTTCTGGAGCCGGGTTTAATCCAGGGAAACCACTGGGATTCACATCAAGCCCACCCCCAAAGTCCTTTCGCTGGGATTCTCATCAGATTAAAACAAAATAAACAAAACAAAATGAAACAAACACATCAGGAAATTTGACTGTTTCACCTAGCATCTGTTTTGTGCTACATTTTCCCACATCTAGCCAAGTTTCTTTTCCTGCCATAGTGAAGAAGCAGACCGCTGGCTCCACTTCTGGCCATCCCCTTGTGTCATCTACTGACCACCAGCAGTCTAGAACAGGTTTCCAGAGGGCATCTTCAACATAGCCCTGTGATTTGCAAGTACTGGCACTAAGCGGGCTCCTCCAACTGAGGATGCAAGGCAGAGGCCAGCCAGGACACTCCTGTGTGATCACTTGATCATTCCCGACTGAATACATGGGCCCACAAACAAGCAGGAGGAGAGAAGAGTGCAGTAGTTGATGAGAGAGGGGACTGTGAGGCATGGGTCAGGTCTGGAGGATGGAGAAGAGACGGCAAAATGTGTGAGGAGTGGCCAGGGGATTCCCATGCATTCGGCAGAAAGGAATGCCTGTCATTTCCAAGGCAGCGGCTGTTGCACTTTTCATGAATTTTTAGTAGCTTTGTTAAGAAAATGCCCCTTTATTTTGTGGAAACTAGTCCTGCTGGGGGCATAGTGGGTAACTTCAGAGTAAAAGGTGGGTGTTCAGAGGTTCTACCTTCCTGAGAGAGAAGGGCACCAAGGTACTGCTACTGGAGAGAACCTAGCTTAGTATCGGAGTATGAAATTCTCCCTTTCTCACTTCCCATCCCAGCTTTCCTCTGGTTTGATTTTAGGAACTCATCAATTTACCACAGCTGCCAAAATCTGTTCCCTGTGACAGGAGAAAATTACCATTTTATATCACTTTATCTAGTAGCAGACTCTTCTCCCCCTTTTCCTTGTTCAGTGCTAGGGGATTGATCTTGGTGCCTCCTGCACACCAGACAAGGGCTCTGCCACTCAGCTTCCCTCCCTTGTATATCTCATGAGGGAAGAAATCCTGTTTGTCAGTGCTTCTGCATGACCCTACTCCTTGGGCAGATTCCCTCATACTTTCCACCTAACGGCATCTTAGACCTGAGAACGTGAAGCAAGGTGGGATCCACTGGTCCATCCACATGCCCAGCTTGTGCAGCAGGAAGCCCTGGTAGGACACATACCTGGAATCAATTTGCCTGTGAGAGCTGTACCTCCAGGGAAAGAAGGGACCCTCTTGTGTGAACAAGATGGACTTGATCCCTGTCCCCCAGACTGGTGAGGCCCTTGGTGTGGTCATACCCCCACTGTGGCAGGGCCATGGTGATGGTAAGCTGGCTGCAGTTGGAGTTTTCCAGGATTTTCTTTTGGCTGGGCTCCCAAGGGCTCACAGGACACACGATGGGAAAGGGGACACACCACCAAGGAAACAACTCCTTGGAAGATTTGCAGAAACAGGTAGCTAGCACAGGGAGCCAGGCACGAGCCCACTGAGGGCTGCCCCCAGCACTCCACACTCATCTCAGCCCCTTGAATGTTCTGTTCTGTTGGCCCAACTTGCAGCAAGCCCATCAAGGTGGCAGAACAGTTGCAGCCAGTGAAATTTCTTAGGGTGCCTAGGGGTACTTCACTTTCTTCTGGTAGGAAATAGGGTTACCAGATTTAACAAGCAGAAATGTAGGCTATCCAGTTAAATTCGAGTTTCAGAGAAACAATGAATACTTGTAAAGAATATCTATCTATCTATCTACCTATCTATCTATCATCTATCTATCTATCTCAACTATTGAGAGATCCTCACTAATACACTGACACATTTATCATTGTTTATCTGGAGTTCAGATTTAACTGGATGTCCTGTGTTTTGTTTGACAAACCGAGAAGTGGCACACAAAGAAACCACATGAAATGTGGTCAAAACATTCCCAGAGGCTGGCCCACCTTGCCTGCTAGTGCATCGCCAGTGTTAGCATGTACTTGGCGCACAGCAGCTCTCAGTAAGCATTTTTGGAGTATGAATGGATGAGGTGGTTTGGACACATCTAGTTGTAAGTATCTGGTAAGTATTTGGAGCTCAGGAGAAAGGCCTAGGCTAGAGATCCAGAGCTGGAAGAATGACGTTACATAAGTTAAAGCTGAAGCCTTAGGAATACATGAAACCATCAGGGACACAGTGAAGACTAAGAAAGGGAATGTTACACTAACCTTTACTAGGAGAGGGGAGCCAGTGAGGGAGAATGGACAGCACAGGGAGCAGGAGGATCCCAGACAATACGGCACCCAAGGAGGGCAACCTCGGGGAGACTGAGATGGCAAAGCCTGAGGAGGGTGGGCAGGGGTGGTGCATCGGGTGTGGGGTGCGGGGGTCACTGGTGATGGATACCGGGGAGCTGTGAGTGCTGAGACCGGAATGCCATGAGTTGAAGAGTATGTGAGGAGCACAGAGAGCAT